GTCTCAATGTAAACAACTAGCCGAAGATTTTTTCAAATTATTTAGGTACATCATATTATTATATCGCTTCGCTCGTATTCGGATCAAAATCGCCGCTAGTTCGAGTGACTTTTATTGTCAACATGACTTAGACCCATGACTCATTTATACAAATATTTTTCTACAAAAATAATTCCGTCTCAAGTTTTCCCCATAAGGATTTTCCGGGAATTTTTGCTTAAATTATTCATTATTTATCATCAATATATTGCTAAATTATATTAACACGACCAACAAAAACAAAAATAAGGCTAACGCATCGCATAGGAAATTACACTGCTTGAGCCGTCCAGCCGCAATACTGATACACTGTTTATCTTTAGAGTAAACAATTAAACCTGCGACGATAATAAAACAAGGTGTTACGTCATAGGCATATATGTGAATAATTTCATCATAGCAGTACTACTTAAATAAAAATGTTGTGTTAGTAGTTCAGCAACAGGGATTCAAGCCCACAGCATTCCTGACACGTGGTGGATGCGCCGTCGTTGACACGAAGGTGGATGCATCATCGGCGCCATCTTGTCAAACTTCATGGCGTCATCTGTCGTGATTGCGGTGAATTCTTGCAATTGATCGACAGGTGAGTTCAAAATTACAGGATCCTGTAATATGGAGTGTGCGGGGAAGAGATTGTTTTATGTCGTTTAGATGTCGCTACGTATATTTAATTATAGTTCAGGTTCTGATGACGTCATAGTGACCTGGGTCACGTGGGTTACGTTAGTGTGTGCCGGTGGCGCCATCTAGCGTACATAGTGCGAAATTCGATTTATGGTTCGGGTTCTGTGATGACCTTATAGCGGCCTGTGACACGTGGGTTATGTCAGTGCGGGTCCGTGGCGCCATGTAGAATACATAGTGCAAAGTTCGATTCATAGTTCGGGTTCTGTGATGACGTCATAGAGGCCTGGGTCACGTCCATTATTGCATCAAACGCCTATCATTGCGTAAATGGAGTACACGCGTTATATAATTTTTTACTTATATGGTCACGTCAGTGTGTGTCGGTGGCGCCATCTAGCGTACGTAGTCCGTTGTGTCCTTTTACAGGATGCCGTAGTGGTAAATAAAATAAATTCATAAATCAGCATGCCGCCGCGCGCCGACGTTTAATGTGGGAACAAACATTTCACGGTTATTTTTACTTATAATTGATAAGTGTTTCCGTTCTAGCAAAAACAACAACAAGCTCGGACTTGCATTTATATTTTATCGATGATAAACATGCATGGATATTTTCACTGCCGACTAACTACATATATGTTTAATAATATATTTAAAAACATTCCAGCCCATAGCCCCATAATACTTTCAAGTTGGACATTATCTATCACTCAACTAACAACCCTTAGGGCCAAAAAAGGGGTGATATCAAAAATTTAAAAAGTACCTAACTATACCATAACTCTTTTCAGGCGGGGACAGCGAAGTTGCTTTTTCCGGGGTGTGCGCAACCCTAACTATCAAGGGAATGCCTGAAAACTGGATTTTGACCATCTGCGCACATGTCGTTAGGGCCTTATTCTATTTTTCCAATTATTTCGTGTTCTAGCGATCCGATTTGATTCGTTCTTTTACCAAAAATTTTTAAATAATTAATTGCATATTTGAAGGCCAGTTTCACCCGTTTAGCATATGCCAAAAGTGCCGTATTCTATTTTTTTCAATTAATTTACGTTCTATCGACTCGATTAGATTTATTTTTTTGCCAAAAATTTCTAAATAATTATTGGCCTATTTGGAGACTAGTTCTACCCGTTTAGCATGTGCCAAAAGGGCCTTATTCCATTTTCAATTAATTAAGGGCCGTAATCAATTTTTCTCAATTAAATCAGGTTCTATTGATTACATTTTATAATTTTTTTTTTACCAAACATTTCTAGATAATTATTGGCATCAATGAAGACTAGTTCCAGCCATTAAGCATACGCCAACAGGGCCGTAATCAGTTTTTTCAATCAATCCACTTTCCAGTGGTCCAATTTAATTCGTTCGTTTACTATAAATATCCACAATAATGTATTCGAATGTGAATATTTTAGTATAGAAAGTCCTAAACACAAAACAGCAGAGAGGATAACATTTAACAATAGGCTAGATCTGAATAAAGAGTATGCAAATTTCTGTCAAAAAATCTAAGAGCTGAACGAGTTTAGATCTGGATCAGCGTTACAAAGCTTATTAACTGGAATGTTTGTAACTGTATACAAAAATCTGATAGTCGGGGGGGAGGAGGGGGGGGGGGTCACTGTCATAAACCCGTTCAGTCCTCCGTCCTCATTCATTAGTTTGCAGTTCCTCAAAGAGTGAAGACGTGCAAAACTAGTTCTCCTATACTGATTTACACGTTTGTGAGAAACAATAGCCATCTCCAGTTAGTTCTATAAAAAATATACCCCAAGTAAAACGAAGCGTTCAGATTAAAAGATGTCCCTCTTCGCAGATTTAGTGAAACATATAGCCTCTCTCCTGGGGCTACTCACACCAAAATATAATGATAACATCGCTAAAGAAGGCCTGGAGGAATGTACTCGAGGACTAAGAAAACTCAACAAAGCTATCAAACAAGCAGCAACCATGGGTGAAAAGCAGCACTTAGAGTCATGTCTGCGGAATATAAGAAGTATGAGGAATCAGTTCAAGAATATGCAAAAGAAAGGCGCAGGATTTTCACCATCACGTCCTGAAGGAGCAAGAGAGCGAGTGCATTGGGATGATTCAAATTCAGCTTTCAGCAGCAGGATAAGAACAGGGATCATTACAAATTTGAAGCATAAAGATCCCAAGCTGTTTTTGGTAGATTGTGCAGCTTCATTTAAACGCAGGATCCAGAATGCTCTTAAAAAGGATGAAGCCATCAAAGTTAATGCAGCATTTTGTGGGGAATTCGAGATCGTCAAAGGTGATAAAGTACTAAAAGAATTTAAGTATTTCACAACGTCTAACTCGCCCATCTACCGAAATACTAATCTTGGGCAATGGTTTAATGAAAAAGTTGCTGAACCCATTATGCATGAAATGGAGGAGTTCCAAGAACGTGACAGTGGTTGGGCCTTGAAGAAAATTGTTAATTTGGGCATCAACATTAACAAATTCATACCACAACTAGGATCTTCATACGTAGAACCATGGGCGCCCGGGAGGGGGGGGGGGGCAGGGGGGGCATCTGCCCCCCCTGGCTTTCAATATAAATACTTAAAGGAAAAGTAATTTGTGCACCTATCAAAAGATACAGAGAATTAACTTTTTTTCCCGTCCGAAATAAAAGTATTTCCAAATTGTTTTATTTTTTAATGTTTATTATATTAATTAAAATTAGCAAAATTTGGGTGTGGTCCATAAAAAATTTCCGCCTGCGGTGCGCTTTCCACGATTCCCCCGAGAGCAGTTTATTTGCCCCCCCCCTGTGACAAATTCTGCGGGCGCCGATGCGTAGAACTACCTTCTCAAATAGCTACGAGGCATGCCTGTGTAAACGTGCAGAACACCGATAACAGATGTTTTGCATGGGCAGTAGTTTCTGCATTGTTTCCAGTTGAGGAACATCCCCAACGCTTAAGCAAATATCCGGATCCTGAAGATGTGTTGAAGTTGAAAGGCATTCAATTCCCCATGACTTTGAAACAAATTCCTAGTTTCGAGAAACAGAATGGTTTATCTATAAATGTTTACAAACTGGAAAAATCTGAGAAAAACTTCAGTTATGCCCACACTCATAACAAGACACAAACAGGAAAAACATGTTAATCTCCTACTCATCCAGAATAAATATGATGAAGAGCAGGGCGAAGACTTTTCACCTGTGAAGTATCATTACGCGTGGATTAAAAATTTATCAAAATTAGTATCCTCACAATTGAGTAAGCATGATGGGAAAAAAACATATCTGCGATCGCTGTCTGCACTATTTCAGATCGCAAGATAAGCTCAACAAACACCTTGAGGATTGTGCAAAGATAAATGAAACAGCTATTAAGATGCCAGAAATTGGTAAAAACATGTTGAAATTCAAAAATTTCAAAAACAAGGAAAGAGCGCCCTTTATAGTGTATGCGGATTTGGAGAGCGTTTTGACCCCAACAAAGGAGGATCCTAAAAGGACTCAGATCCATATTCCAGCTGCTGTAGGATATTACCTAAAGTGCTCCTATGATGATTCATTATCTTTTTACAAGTCATTTCGTGGTGTAGTATGTATGCAGTGGTTCGCTGATGAGATGGCTCAGCTAGCAGAAAATATTGCAACTGTATTCTGGACAAGCGTCTAGGGGCAGGACAACAAACATCGATTCAGAGCATCGCGCATGCGTGTTCACGAATGTTTTGTTTTTAGAGGACAACATAACCACAGATGCCATATATTCAAAAAATAACAAATAGGTTTATTTTAAATTAAATTTTGACCTTTTATTTTAGTAAAGATTTGGACAGAGTATTGCCAAATTTGGTAAACTTGAGCTCTATAAACCTAGCAGTGCCATGGTGGAAAAAAAGTTCGGGGCTAATATAATAATTAGGTGCTTTTGAGGTGCCGATTTAAGGCTTCTAATTAAAAATAGGTGCTCCTTTAGTTTTTGAGAAAATCAAAAAAAAAAAAACTAAGGGACTGCTAGGTGTATGAAAGCTAGCAGACCTTTATGGTAGTAAATTTTTTTTTTTTCAAACTTCTTAGATGTGCTTAAATGTTAAACAAAAAATATAATGAATTATCCTGAATATTTTCCATTTTCGAATTATTTCCAGGTTTCCAATCTTTATTTACTTCCATTCTCCATGCAATAAAAATCATTAACATTCCAATAAAACACATAATAAAGCTTAAATATTTTTTTTTATTCCCATACAAATTATAATCTACTTAACTAAAAATATGTAGGATAATTATCATAGTCTTACTTAGTTTTTTTTGGTTTTAGTTTAAAGTCAACCATTAAAGCGTTCATGTACCTGTATTATACAGTATCTATTCTCTACATAAAAGCTGAATCGCTAATACATCTGCCTCCTTGGCTGAAGGCTTTTCTAGGGTTTTCTTCTTTTTTCGACATTGCTTTGTTGCAAATAGACGCCTTTGGGGTTGTATATTTTTGTTGTGAGGCGTGCTACTTGAAGAATTCATGAAATTAGATGTCGATTGCTGCTGATTTCTATGTTTAATTAATTGTTTTAACAGACCAAATTCGCAATCGCACTGGTTGCATTTATGAGCTTTTTTTTCTATTGGGGCAAGTTCTTCCAGTTTATCTAAAAGAATTGCCTCATAAAAAAATTATTTTATAAAAAAAAATCAAAAAACTTCTTTTAAAATTTAAGTAGGAAGATAGGTACTTACCGGAATGTTTATGCTTAACATGCAACCTCAGATTACCAAATGATGCAAAGCATTTACCACATTCACTACATAAATGATTACCAGAACCAGATGGATGTCTATTCATTGGTGCAAGTTCATCCAATTTATCTAAAATTTATTGAACCAGAAATAATAAAGTATTGCATAATAGTAAAGGGTGTACCTGGGTGTTTTCTTTTTATGTGAGCTCTCAAACTAGAGGGTTTGCAGAAATCCATTTTACATTCTCCACAATGTGCCATTGTAGGATTTAAAAGTTTTATGTTTTATCACTTGTTGAGTTTGGAATACGGCACACGACAACGCACGCAAAACGAGCAGCAAAACATGGACGGAAACGAATATCACGAACGAGACGAGACAGGAGAAGATATTTAAATAAAAATAAGTAGTATCTCTATGGTAGTATCCAATCGATGTTTATTTGTTAAAAATATTTCTGTCAATAAAATCTGTGGTTATGTTGTCGTTCGTATCGATAATATTCGTAAACTCGGATGCGCGATGCTCTGAATCGATGTTCGGCGTCCTGCTCCTAGACGCTTGTGTATTCTGGTGTCCCTACGACATTAATATGACCAAAGCCGAAGAATCAGAGTTTCAGAAAGCTACACATTGTTACATTTGCGAGCACCCGTTCAATTCGCCAAGTGATAAAGTTCGAGATCACAACCACTTGATTCCTAACAACAACTACCGAGGTGCTGCCCATTCGTCGCCATGTAACATTAATCAACAAGATTCACACGTGATATCTGTGGTGTTTCATAACTTGAGCGGCTACGATGCCCATTTCATCATTGCAGACATAGCTAACAAAATGAAAGGATCTATTGATTTGTTGCCAATAACAAAGGAAAAATACATCTCATTCACCAAACACATTGATGATTACCCAATCCAGTTTCGCTTTATAGATAGTTTCCGATTTATGAATTCTTCGTTGGATAAACTGGCATCAAATTTACCTGAACATCCCAACCTAAAGTCACAGTTCACCGGGCTAGACGTAGATAAGTTTAAACTTCTTACAAAAAAGGGGGTGATGCCCTATGATTACATTGACTCGTTTGATCGTTTTAATGAAGCCTGTTTGCCGCCAATAGAAGCATTCTACAACACACTGAATGATGCACCATGTCCTCAAAGATTATATCTCAGAGCTAAACAGGTGTGGAATAACTTCGATTGTCAAGATTTAGGTGATTATATCGATCTATATATGAAGACTGTAACATTTTAATTTTGCTCTTCCCATTAAATGAGTAATTCAGCGTTTTAACTGGTAACACACAAATATAATTTTAGAGCTGACTTAATTGATTGGATATTAATTACCTTACTCTGCATCTTTTTAGATAATTTCAGGCACAGCCAGACAAGATTTTGCTCCTTATCATTTGTCTAATGATTTAGTTGACCATTGCAGATGAATATTTATTGAACAATGCCTGGTTATCTTATTCTTGTTGTCCTTAAAAGGAATATACATAAATTATCAATTTCATTAGTCGATAGTCAACATTGTTTTGATTTTCAAATGAAAAGGGGTTATGTCCAGTTAATTGTCATTCAATTTTATTTTCGCGCCAGCTCCTTTCGAAGGATTAATTCCTTTAGTTTTCACTCCCTCTCTGTCTCTCTCTTACTGGAGGATTTCGTTTCTTTTATCTACCTGTTATCGAGTACCTATATCGATCAATTTGCTGGTACTTTGGTTTTGGTCGCGTAGGGTTGGGTTTTTCAATACATGTCGATATAATTGGTGTCGTGTCAGAGAAGGTATGGACAATATTATTTAATAAGTGAAGTTATTTATAGATTTTAATGAGAATAGTGTTTTCCTGATTAGTGTGGATTGATTCGGTCCCATTTGTTGAGTCTCTTTGGAGGTTTCGCTGACGACTATCGATATCTTTGTCGTTATCTTTCAATCCTTCCTAAAGTGTGGAATGTGGAATTCGATAAAAAAAATGTAACATAAAAAAAAAGTTAGTGCGTAGAAATTTCTGGTTTAGGGTCCCAAAAATCGTACAACGGTCTCTTCTATTTCGTCCAGCGACTAGAACACTTTGGCTTTGGCCTGAAGAATAGTTTTTTTTTATCCGGTTGACCATAAAGAAAATTAAGTGATTTTCTCTATTTAATTAGGATCCGGTCATCCAGATAATTTCAATTTTGGTTTTGCCAGTCTAGTTTTGGTTTTTGTTACCTTTTGGCAGCCAAATCACCTTTCTAAGGGATTTATCTATTTCTTCTAGTCGGTAAGTCCACCATTTTGTGAATTTGTTTTATTGTAAATTAATTAGTTCTATTCTCACAATAGAATATCACATCACGTCGCTTGGATTGAATTGTTTGAGCCTAGACTCTTAGAGCCTTGATTTTATTGTTGCTCGTTATTGTGAACTTCCAAATTGGATCAGCCAGCGTAGGTGAAATTGGAGTTCCATGACCTTCCGTTCACCTTCAACCTTTGAGCTGTGACCCTCAAAAATCCACGAGGTAATTATAATGGCAATTTTCCATTTTAATGTTTTATTGGGGAACCATTCTATGCCGCATTGATTGGTAGACTTATAGTTTTTTTATTTAAATATATTATTTTTTTTTGCAATGCAACTTATTTGATGAATTGAACTCATTATATTTAGTAAATGGGTTAAAACTTGGGAATTGAAATGTACAATTTTATATCCCAAGTGGCATAATTTCAATGGGGATTTAAGGGTAATTTATTTACTCATTGGTGCTTTCTTTAGGGTCTTATGGTACGGTTTTATGCTACCGTTTTCGATAACGCAACTCAGTGGATGTTTTGATTGTATGCAGTACCCACCACTGTATCTGAATAGCAAAGACTCGGCGAACTAGTTTTCATTGATGAGATAGATCATCTGGTACGAGTGTGAAATCCCAGACCCATTGTTAATTGTCAGCATAAAGCTAAGTAGTTTAGTGTAATTTTTTTTATTAATTATTTAAAAATATCGTATATGGCTTAGGTAACTTTAGTTACTCACATTTAAGTAAACATTTGACCCCATTTATTTGCGGAGTGATCACTGACGCTGGGTGTGTGTTAATTCGCACTTATTGGTTATTTTAGTTTTAAGTATAGCTCTCTGCTTACATAAGTATTCATACATATCAATACCGACAGACAGTTTTCTTAAATCTGACTATGAGGAAGCCTTTAGGTTCTTTATTCCTGCTAGTCGTCATACTAGCCTCTGAATACTTGTCATAATCATTATTTAATCACCATAACTTGTACTAAATCAATACTTAATATTCAATAAATACTGATTTTGTTGTATTGCCAATTACCTGCTTTCTTTGTCTTTTTGCTTATCCAATTATTTTCTTACATTTCAGGCATAATAATTTGGTTTGTACTTTAGTTCAACCTGCAGTCATCGCAGGACTTTTCCGATTTAGTTTCAAAAATTGGTGGCGCACGAATCCACGAACCGGGCACGTGGACACTTTAACAAACTCTGTTGAACTAAGGTCGCAATCCAAATAAGGTTACATTTTGGTAATTGATTTTTCTTACGTAAAATAAAAGTGTTACAACTGGCGCCCAACGTGTTCTTTAAAAAAAGAAATAGGGGTTTCTTTATTTAGTCAAAGCTCAGTTAAAGTATGGTACAGTTGGTACCAAACTTTGTTTTTTTTGTAGATTTTTTTTTTGAAAAGAGAGAACTGTCTGATTGAAATTTGATAATTGGTATTAATTTTGTAACCGTCAATTAAAATTGGTATTCGCCTAACGCCTTAGTATAGCGTAAGTTGTTGCATCACACCGTTCACCATTTCAATAAAATTCAATTTTGGGGTTCATTAATTATTAATTAATTACATTTATTAAGGTATTTTTTTAAATTATTATTATTGCAATTGAATACTTCGTGATACAATTTTTTTTTGCTGCGGTTCCTTGCGTGTCAAGTATAGGTAAATATATATACATATTTTTTTTTATTTTTATTTTTTTTGATTGATTGATCAAATTCTTTGGAAGAGTACAATTATTGTTGGTAAGTGGGTGATAATATCTGACCGTCATCTTTTGTGTGTTTATTTTATACCTACAATTTACCCTGATTTTTTTTTAATACTGTTTTTCTTCTGTCATCTTGATCATGGATTATAAAATGCAAATCAATTACCTTAAGAAGGAAATGCTTGCCTACGAACTGTTTACGCGCGGGGTTACCGTTGATGATTCTAGAACTGTTGAACAGCTGCGTAGTGCTTTGCGTCCACTATTGAAACTTGAAAAGGGGGGAAAGCCATTGACTGTGTCTGTTTATACTTGCGATGTGGATCAGGAGTTTGCTTATATTTCTGCAACTCTCCAGGATATTTCTACTGCAATTAAGTCTATGGCTCCAGAAAATGCAGTTGCCAAGTTCGAGCGTAATCAAACTAGATTAGTACATCTCCTCAATAGGACTGATCGTATTCCCCTAAAGGATTTGTCGGAGCAACAACTGCAGCAGAGAGGTTCTTTTCTTGCTGAAATTTTGGGTTTGTTGGATCGTCTTGAGATTGTTTCTGTTACTGATCCTAATGTTAGTGCTTTGTTGGCCGAAGGTGCAAATGTTGGCCACACTTCCTCTTCAACACCGGTTAAGGCAACTCCAGTCAGTATTTTGAATCAAACTTCCAATGTGGTACCGAAGTCACAACCTGTTCAGAAGTGGAATCTTAAATTTAGTGGTGACTTGAAGGTCAAGTCAGTCCATTCTTTTCTTGAGGAGGTGGAAGAATTGAGAATTGCCAGACATACAACGGAGGAAGAACTTTTTGACTCTGCTAGGGACTTGTTTGTAGGAAAGGCTTTGAATTGGTTCAGAGCAAATCGCTCTAGATTTTCCAACTGGAAGGAATTGTCTGATTTGTTAATATTGCACTTCCAACCACCCGATTATAAAGCAAGATTATTCAGGGAGATCCTGGACAGAACGCAAGATCCTTCCGAGGGTATTGTTGATTACTTGACCACCATGAATGTTTTGTTTCGTAGGTATCTCAATGTTCCTGAGGAGGCTCAGTTGGAGATTATTATGAGGAACCTGGCTCCCTTTTATACAACCCAGCTTCCAGTTGTTAATACTTTGGAGGAATTGGAGGTTGAATGTTTGAAACTAGAGGCTAAGAAGTACCGTGCCGATCATTATGTTCCGCCACCTCGTAGACGAGTAAATTTGGTTGAGCCGGATTTTGCTTTTGT